TTATGAAGCCATATGGGGCAGCTGCTGCTTGTTTGAGAGATTTTAGGAAAGTCCTAAGCATGAGGCTCCAGAGGCCACTTGCACAGAAAAGCCCCTGGAAATGGCCGGGATGAGCTGCAGGTGGGGAGGGGCAGGGCCTCCAGGAATCACGGGGCGGGGCCGAAGGTGTGAGTCACATACGCGGTTGCTGTCTGCACATGCTCTTCCCTGCAGTGTCTGTCCGTGGCTCCCGCACATATTCTAATGGACTGTTTCTCTGCTGAGTGTCAGGGCTCTTAGGCATTGTTCTCGACAGCAGTCCTTTGACGGGCCTGGGGCTGCAAAGGTCGTCCAGGGTGGCAGCTCATCATTACGTTCTCTCCACTGGGCTTTGGAGGGGCAACAGCGTTTAATGTTGATGAGATCCAGTTCATTAATTTTTCTCTCTTATGAATCATGCTTTTGGTGTATAGCTGAAGCCTTTGAACACTCTGTTGGGTGAGAGCAGGGAAAGCAGACATCCTCACCTTGCTCTCAGCCTTAACACATTCATTGCTTCACATTGAGATAACCCGGGCTGTAGGGTCTTTGCAGGTGCTTTTGTCAAATTGATGTAGTTCCCTGTGTTTTTTTTTGTTTTCTGAGACTTTTATAATGAATTTGAGAGTTGAATCTTGTCGAATGCTCTTCTGCATCAGTTGATATAATCATGTAATCTTCTTCTTTAACCTACTATTATGGCGACTTACACTGATTGCTTTTCAAGTATTTACCAGCCTTGCATTCTTAAAATAAACTCCACTTACTCATCAAATATTATTCTTTTTATGTGTTGATAAGTTCTATTAGTTAATATTTTGTCAAGGATTTTTGCTTCTCTATTCATGATGGATAGGTTTCTTTTTTGTACTGTTTGTCTGATTTTAGTATGAGCATAAAAGGGTATTGCCAGCTTCATGAAACAAATGGAAAGGTATACCCACCTTTTCTATTTTCTGGAAGATATTCTGTAAAATTTACATGAATTTTGCTTAAAGTTTTTATAAAATTCTCAAGTGAAACCATCTGGACCTGGAAATTTATAGGGGGGGGGGAGTGTTTAAATTATGAATTTAATAGTTACTTTTCTAGAGGGACATACAGATGGCCAATAGACACATGAAAAATGCTCAACATCGTTCATCATCAGGGAAATGAAAATTAAAACCACACTGAGATGTCATCTCACACCTGTGAGAATAGCTCCCATCAATAAATCAACAAACAAGTGCTGGCGAGGGTTTGGAGAAAGGGGACCTTTTACACTGTTGGTGGGAATGCAGACGGGTACAGCCACTGTAGAAAGCAGTGTGGAGGTTCCTCAAAAATTAAAAACGGAACTGCCTTATGACCCAGAGATTTCACTTCTGGGTATTTATTCTAAGAAACCTGAAACACTAATTTGAAAAGACATATACACTTCTATGTTCATTGCAGCATTATTTGTAATAGCCAAGATATGGAAACAGCCAAGTGTCCATCAGTAGATGAGTAGATAAAAAAGCTGTGGTACGTTTACACAATGGAATGTTACTCAGTCATAAAGATGAATGAAATCTTGCCAAGTCAGGCAAATAAAGACAAATGCCATATAGTTTCACTTATGTGTGGATTCTAAAAAACAAAATAAACTATAAAAAATAAAATAAAAACTAAAAAATGAGCTAAAAAACCCAAACAAATTAAATGAACAAACAAAATAGAAAAAACCTCATAGATACAGAGAACATTTTTTTTTAATCTTCACCTGAAGATATGTTTATTGATTTTAGAGAGACAGGAAGGGAGAGAAAGAGAGAGAGAAACATCAATCAGTTGCTTCCTGTACACAACCCAGGTATGTGTCCTGACTGGGAATCTAACCCACAACATTTTGGTACATGGGACAGCGCTTCAACCAACTGAGCCACCCGACCAGGCCAATACAGAGAACATTCTGGTGGTTGCCAGATAGGGGGATGGGNATTTTGCATCAAATATTTATATATATTACTATCTTTATTATATCCGTGATACAAATCTACAAAGCAAGATAGTTAATTGGCTTAGTTTTTTATATTCAGAACTGAAGTTATAATTTCTTTCATCTTTGACTTATTTTAGGATTTAATTATTTAAATTAATCATTATGTTAAAAATATTTATTTTTAGAGCAATAATGTGTTTTCATTGGTTCAAAAATTACTTGTAGTAATAAAAGGTCAAGTGTTTTGGTGAAATGGCTAAATCAGGTAGGAACTCTATAATTAACAGTTAAGCACTCCCCTTAAAATTACTAATATTATAAGTAGTGAGTAGAAGTAATTCTATAATACATGGAAAAAACGTAGATTTTGAAAATGTCAGAAAAGGGGTGAAGGCAATTGCAACGTTATTTTTTTAAATGATGATTAACCTTTTAGGATGTTACTTACTTTTAGATTTTATAATGACAGTATAGTAATTGGGCACTTATTTATTTATTAAATTCAGACAAAGAAAGATAAAATACCATGTGATTTCACTTATATGTGGAATAAAAAAACCCAAAATAAATGCACAAATAAAACAGAATGAAGCTCATAGACACAGAGAACAAATTGATGATTGCCAATTGGGAGGAGGATTAGGGAGTTGAGTATTAAAGGTGAACAGATTAAGATGTACAATTTGCCAGTTATAAAAACAGTCATAGGTATGTAAAGTATGGCATAGGGATACAGTCAATAATATTGCAATAACTATGTAAATTGTCAGATGGGTACTAGATATAGGGTGATCACTTCATAAGGTATAAAAATGTCTAATCACTATGTTATATGCTGAAAATTAATATAATATTTTATGTCTACTGTAATTTAAAAATAAAATTTTAAAAATAAGTTACTAATACAATTTCCTTAACAGTGATAGGGCTATTCCAATGATCTATTTTATACTGTGAGTTGTGGTAATTTGTGTTTTGTAAAGGATTTGAGCATTGTATCTGTGTTGCCACGTTTATGTGTGTATGGCTGTTTGTACAGTTCCCTTGTTATCTTTTTGATGTCTGTAGGGTCTGTAGTGAGAGCCTCTATCTCATTCTTGAAATTGGCAATTTGTGTCTTTTCTCTTTTTATCTTTGTCAGTGTTTCTACAGGTTTGTAAATTTTATCAATCTTTTCAAAGAACCAGTTGTTTCAATGATTTACTCCCTCGTTTCTGTTTTAAATTTCATTGATTTCTTCTCTTTATAATTTCCTTCCTTCTGCTTGCCTTGGATTTACTTTTCCCTTTTTTTCCCCCTAATTTATTTTTTTATTTTTTTAAACCCTCACCCGAGGATATTTTTTCCATTGCATTTCAGAGAGAGAGAGAGAGAAACATCGATGTGAGAGAGACACATCAGTTGGTTGCCTCCCACATGTGCCCCGACTGAGCCTGGAGATGGAGCCTGCAACCAAGGTACTTGCCCTTGGCTGGAATCAAACCCGGGACCCTTCAGTCCTCGGGCCAATGCTCTAACCACTGAACCAAACTGGCTAGGGCTTCCCTAATTTCTTGAATGGGATTTTAGATTATTGATTTGAGAACTTTACTTTTTTCCATGAGAGGCTCTTTGACACAAATATTTTAAAGTTACTTCATTTAAATTAAATTTATTTTTATTTTTTTATTCTTATTGAGGTAAAACTGTATATATTTAAGGTACACAACTTGATGTTTTGACGCATATATACACTGAAATAATCGCCACAATCAAGGTGATTAATATGTCTATTACCTCACATAGTTACCTTTTTGTGTGTGTGATGAGACCACTTATGATCTACCTTCTGAGCAAATTTCAAGTATATAGTATAGTATTTTTAAATTTCCATTTTGATTTCTTCTTTGACCTATGGGTTATTTAGAATATCGTTGCTTAATTTCTAAATATATGGGGATTTTCTTTTTGTTATTTTCTTACAGTTTCATTCCACCATGTTCAGAAAATATATTCTGTAGAATTTTAGTCAGTTGAAATTATCTTAAACTTGCCTCATGTTTCATCATGCAGTAAAGTTTAGTAGTGACTTCATTTGTGTATTCTGCAGTTTTTAAATTTTCTGCATATTTTTATACTTGATTAGGCAAGTTTGCTTACTATGTTCTTCAAATATTCTATATCTCTATCTTTTTAATTATTCCATTTAGTTACTGACAAATGAGTTAACACCTTCCTGAATTATTGTACATTTGTTTCTCCTTTTAGTTCTGTCACTTTGTATATTACATATTTTGAAGCTGAGTTTGTAAATGCCTCATGTTGAGAACATACTTTCTTGGTGTACTGGCCCTCTCGTCAATANTTACATATTTTGAAGCCTCATGTTGAGAACATACTTTCTTGGTGTACTGGCCCTCTCGTCAATATGAAACATCCTCTCAGCCCCACACTGCTTATGACTTGTCAACTGCTTAAGGGGGGGGCCTCAATGCAGAAAGCCAGGCTTATTTCTCTTTACTGCACTATTTTTGGGCTCTTGGTCCCTTATGTTCTGGAAGACTTGGTGAGCCTGAACCCCAGGTTTGTCTCCTTGGCCACCCGAGACTTCCAAAAGCTCTGCTGAGAGTCTCTGCTTCTTTCAGTTTAGCTTCTCAGCCTCCTGTGCTATTTGCAAATTTGAAAACATCTCAAAGGAAAATAAAACAGCACAGATATTGGACATTGAGAACATCTCAGGGAGTGTTGTTGGTTTTTTTTCTCCAATACCTTGGCTCCTTAAGTCTCGACTCTCTTGGTAGCTCTCTGTTGTCTTACAGCAGATCATTCAGGTCCAGCTTTTCTATTAATCTTGGGGGAAGGGTTTAACTGCTACAAGCTGGGGGTGGAAGGAACCCACAGACGTGTAAGTATGCGTGTGAGTTTATCACCTTAGGTGAAGGCTTGATTCACAAGGTTGCGATGGACTTGACCAGAGCAGAGTTCTTATCTGACATCGGCTGTCACTAAGCTGTGGATGGTTGTCTCTCTTCTCTAGGATTTTGTGTCATGCATCGAAAACTACAGAAGAAGAGGACAGGAGCTCTATGCATCTTTATACAAAGATCACGTACAGGTAAAAAACCAAGAGACTTCCTTTCTCTACACAAGAGACTGGAATCCACCTTGAACCTGCAGTAAAGAATCAGAAGGGCCTTTGGTTTAAGTTTGAGACTGCCCAAGTCGATAATTGGTCATCGAGGAGTCAGGCAGACTTCAGGAGCTGTGTGAGGAGCTTTGGATCCACACTGGGAGCTGCTGAGGAGACAGGCATGTGTCTCTCCACGCAGCACCTGGGGTGGCCCAGACCCTGCACTGGGAGCTCGGGGTGAAGCTGAAACACAGCAGACATGGGCCTTGCTCTCAGGTAGCCTCACTCTAAAGGAGAAATGTACGTAAATAACTGCAGAAATAGATAGATCATTATAATTTGTGATGAGCACACATGGAAAGTGCAGGTACAATGAGAGATTATAACACAGGAAAGAATTTAACGTGGGCAGATCAGAAGCTGCCGGGAAGGCAGTGACCTTTAAGTCGGGCTCCGAGGAAGGAGGAGTGTGGACTAAGTTGTCCCGAGGAAGCGTTTTCGGCTGGGGGGAGGGCATTCCTGAAGGTCCTGAGTCAGCAGGAAGCTGAATGTCACCGATTAGCTGGAAGGAAAAGAAGTGGCTGGTGACCTGAGCCGGGAAGGGACAGGGTGCAGATGAGGTGGGGCTGGAGCAGACAGTGTCGTCACCACTTTAGGGTTTTTGCATTTTGTCCTAAGAGCAGCGGGTTGCCAGTGATGAGGGCAGGTCTAGAGATTTCAGACGCCTCTTAGGCACCGTGTCTGTGCAATCTTGGTCAAGAGCACTGGCTGCCTCTCCCCAGGCCTGCAGTCTGAGCCTCAGGGTCCCCATCTTTACGGGGGAATAATGCTTTCTAACTGGAAGGTAAAGAGCACTGGACAGCACCGAGGCAGCGGCTGGGAGGAAATGCCCCTGAGGTGCTCATGGGCTGGCGAAGAAGCTATCTTCAGTTGGTTTTGTTGTTAACAAAATTTTTAAAAATGATTGCTAATAATAGAACACAACATATAGTATTAGAACCTTACTAATTATATTATTTACTTTATAATTTCTCTGTTCCAAAGCTTGTGCAAGGTATAGGAAAGGCTGAGACTATTATGGCACTCCTCCAGGGTTCTTAAAACTTGATAGAGAACAGAGTAAGGAAACAACCACAAACGGGGTAATGAGGCCCATACTAGGATGTCCTGCGAGGAGAGGGTGCAAGGAGCCATAGGTACACTGGGGCGGGGGAGGGGTCAAGGACTGGTGAGACTGGTGCCCAGGGGTGGGGGGGAAATAGGCTCTGGTCAACTTAAGCCAAGTAACCTGGTCTAATACCCTCCGTATGAGCTGTCCAGTCCACTGGATGGCCAGCATCAGGCCTGGACCTGTTGCTCCCTGACCAGCACCAGCAGTCACAGGGCTCTGAATTCCAGAGGCTGACGGTTTTCCCTTCCTCTCCTGGATTAAATGGTCTAAAACCAAGAAACCTATTTCTCTGTGGCCAGTTCTTGGCTCCAGAGAATATACTACACACTCTGAGGGTCCTTGGGGTGCGTATAGCGGCCAGTTTTCTCAGGCAATTATGAGGGGCTTGGCCTGTGTACCCCACGAGGTTCAGGGTCGGGCTCATGAGCCCCATGTCCAGGGACCACGTTGTACTTCTGTTTCCCAGAGGCGGAGATGTGGCAACGTCAAGGCAGCCAGAGCCTGGGCCAGGATCCAGGAGCAGCTCTTTGGAGAGCTGGGCATGTGGGGCCAGGCAGCAGAGGCCACACCCCACTCCCGGTGGGAACTGGACTGGAGAGAAGGACCCGCCGGCGTAAGGAAACGCATCAGACGCTTGTCCCCGCTGGAGGCCCTGAGTGCGGAGACGCTGGAGGTGAGCGGGCCACGCAGCGGGACGGCGCTCGTTCCCGCGGGCCATGTGCGGGCCGGGCAGTGTCCCCTAGCTCCTCCAGCTCGTGCTGCTTCCACCAGCACTCTTCCCGGGGCTCCCAGGGAGCTTCGGTGTGGGCAGGGAGGAGAGAAAATGTGTGTGGGGAAAGGCAGACTCGCTCTCACTTATTCCTGATGCTGCGGAACAGAAAAGAGAATCACTTCTCTGGCACCTCCCAGGTAACAGAGCAGGGATGCGGTCACTACAGCCTAAATGACTGAATCAGTGGGTGAGTGGTTCGTATCTGCCTCACCGCCCCAGGCCACGCTGACATCCACAAAGTCCAGTGTTTGGAAAGAGCCACGTAATGGTCACTGTCAGCTTTCCCAGTTGTTTGTCACAGAGCAGGCATGACCAGCACTGCCATGGGCATTGTTGTACAAGCAAATCCCATGACAAGTTTTACAGTGGAAATATCTTGAACTCAGCTATTTCTGCAGGCTCGAGCTGGTGACCCACTTAGTCCAAATGGCATCAAAGCTGCACTGAATTCCCAAGCAATGGAATCCAGGCAGACCTTGGGGGGTTGCTGTAATTAAAGCTTGAACTCTGTGTCAGCAAACTGACATTTTTGCCTTTTAAAGGATGGGGAACCAGTTGGATTGGTAGTGGATCTAGAAAAATCTAATAGTTTTTTATTTTTTCATCGAACAATCCTGACTTAAGATGTTCTAAAAGCCAGCCTTCCAAACAGTGGAAGGCGAGACAATGCTGAATTTATTTTCTAGTCTGTAACATAAGAATCTTTTATCCACATTAAATCCTTTATAAAACCCAATGAAAAAATTATTATTCATTTATTCAGTAGACACTTGAATTTTTAATGTATTGTCAATAGACATCTGGTGGTTTTTAGTATTTTTCCTTCAATACATTTCTTAGGAAATGGAGGCGGGAAAAGTAAGCAGCCGGCACATTAGCTGGTGGCCACACCAGAGGCCGCCTGTGAAATCAGACCCTGGGCCCTGAGCCCCTCTCCAGAGTGGCCCACACCTCAGGTCCACGATGATATCTAGTCCCATTTTGGCATCATTTTTAGTAATTACTGTAATTCTACTTACTGGAAGATTGTGGGTTTTTTCCCCTTTGACTCAGGAACATTAATACTTGCATTTTATTGTGGTCCTTTAGGATTTAGTGTTTTCACTCCTTGTGTCTGAGTCTTGAGCCTGTGATTTATTTGAAGGGGTCACATGCATGTGCAGGCTTTCATGGGCCTGTGGAGTGGGGTGCGTATATGCACTACCCAGGATTTAGTTCCTCTTTTCTCTGATTTTATTTCAGGAAAGCCACGATGGGAATGGTGATATTTCTCAAACAAATGCTGAAAACAAAGGTATTCAGTTTATCAATTTATTTTTTATTAAAAAAGTAAACCAATTCTTGTTTTATTTAATAGAATATTAAAGATATGAAATCAGTACTTTGGAGGAAGGAAATGCTGCAGGTCTGGTGTGGGCAGTGCTGACTCTCCCTGACTGTGCTCCTGGAATGAAGGGGAGCCTATTCCAGACCCCAGGACTCCCTGAGGCGCAGAATTTCATATTAATGTTGCAACAACAAAAATTTGGGGGGAAACTTTGCTGTATCAGGAAAACCTTAAAAGTGCCCACCAAACAGTACAAATATATGTTCAGTATGTGACCCAAACACAGAGGAGGAAAATAATGAGTGTTTTAGAGTAAAAATGGGTAAACTAGATACTTAATACTTCTTACACTGAATGTTCTGACTGCAAAAATGACGGATAAAATGTTCATTATTACAGCAGCTCCCGCTTATCCACAGGGGTACGTTGCAGGACCACACACTGTGGTTTTCCTGCGCGCGCGCGCGCACACACACACACGCACACAGCCCTTCCCAATTAAAGGAGGCACTTCACAGCTTCTCTTGGGCATATTCAGGTTGCCAGCATCACCGCTCTTGTGCATTGGGACCATTAATAAGTAAAATAAGGGTGACTTGAACGCAGCAGGGTGATACCACGGCAGTTGATCTGATAACTGAGACGGTTACTAAGGGACGGCAGACGGGGAGCATCTACAGCGTGGAGACGCTGGACAAAGGGACAGCCCACCTCCTGGGTGGGAGGGCGTGAGATTGCTGGAGTTTTCATCACACTGCTCAACGCAGCGCACAATTTAAAACTTATGAATTGTTCATCTCTGGAATTTTTCATTTACTATTTTTGGATCGTGTTTGACTGCAGGTAACTGAAACTGCAGCAAGTGAACCCACAAATTAGTTTACTATTTCCCAATAAAAAAGTATTTTGAGTCATATTTTATGTTTGTGCTTACTCTTTAGTTGTATAATTTTTCATGGAGGAGTTTGATTGAGTTGATTTGCTGAAAATACAGCCTTTAGTTTCAGAGGTTGTTTTAGCATGAACACATTGAAATACACACACGCACGCACACACATGAGCCGTGCACACTGTATTTCAGCTTTTGTGTGTTTCTACCAGATTGCCTTTGACTTTGGACACTCCCTGTCTGTTACTTTCACTGTATCTGAGGCTGCAGCTAGGGTCATATTTTTAACCAAATGACAATTTCTGAGTGTTGATCACCTTGTCTCATTCAGGGCCTTAGCCCTGGGCCTCTGTTGGGCTGGCTGACGTGCCAGCCTGCAGTAACTGTCCAGAAGTGTGGTCCTGGGCCCTGACCCGGGTTATCTGGGGGTCTTGCTGTGGTATGGGACTTAGGATAACATTGTAATATCCATTTCTCTTCTCTCCACCCCAAGCCCACAATTCAAAGTTCAGAATGAGGATCTGCCTGCTCTCTCTTTCAGAGGGGGTGGGGGCTGCTGCGTCCTCTGGTCCCCAGGGAGCTCCGTCAGTGGAGCAGAGAGGCCCCAGGGCTCTCCGCTGTGCTTTCCTGGGTGCGCAGCGCTCTCCCTGCTGGGGGAAGCCTGGGTGGCTGCTGCTGTGAGCCTCAGGCCCTTCCTTCACCCAGATGGGAGAGTCCCAGGTAGGGCTGAGGCCAAAGAGGTGAGCATCTTGGCATAAATAAAATGGCTGGTAACCCCTCGACCTCACAGTCATGTGCAGTGTGACCACTGCAGGCAGGTGGACACCCAGGGCAGGGTGGAGGAGTAGGATCTGGAAATGCACGTAGGTATGTGCTTATCTGGTGCCCAGTGCACGGCCCAGGAGGACGTCCTTGGGAAATACATGTAGACATGCACATGATGACGGCCGCCAGCCCAGTGTGTTCACGGTGGCACAGGACCAGAACCGCCTGCATCTCCAAAAACAGCAGCTGGGTTAAGTGGTCATAAAAATGCCAAGCAATGGTATATTCTTTGCAAGTAACTTTTTGTGGAATGGGAAAGTGCTCATGGTATAATTTTGAGTAAAAAATATTAGAAAAGAAAAACTGTAAATGCTGTATAATTTCTACTGTGTCAAAAGTTACGTGTGTGTATCTACACATGTGTGTACAGAAAAGATATCAGAAGTAAATAAACCAAACTGTGAACAGTGATGAATGGCCTAGACTTGGAAAGCTTGGACTCTGGACTCACATGGTTCAGACTCGCCTCAGTTCACAGCAGCCACACCACCCTGGAGCAGTACTCGCCTGTTTCAGTTTCCCCGTCTGCAGACAGGCTGAGAAAATCCACCGCCTCAGTAGGACTAGGTGAAAGAGGCCATTCAAGCCCCCACACAGAGAAAGCGCTTTCTAAATGGGATCTGCTATTGTCAACACTGTCTCTGGGTATATATTTGTTTTATTTCTCACTTCATGGTTTTTCCAAGTTTTTCTTACAATAAGAACATAGTGCTTCCGTAACTTAAAAAACATACAAAAACACTTTCAAAGAGTGAGCAAAGTGAAATTCAGACACAGCAAACCCTGGCAGAGCAGCCGGGGCTGGGCACACCTGGAGGGGTGGTGTCCACTCTCAGCCGCAGCAGGGGGACATGCTGACACGCACGCCAGTCTCATCTTCCCTGGACTTTGCAGCTCCTCCCAGTGATTCAGGCCCCAACTGCACTCCACCCCTGTGGCATCAGGTGGCTGGTGCCAAAACTGTGTCCCTTTGCGCCTTTGCAGATGAGCTGACCCTGAGGGAAGCTGAGAGCAAGAGAGACGGGGCAGTAGCAGACTGTACCCAGTTGACCTTCTTTCCTGCCTTACACGAAAGCCAGCACTCCGAAGATTTCTTGGAACTGTGTCGGGAGAGACAAGTTATTTTACAAGAGCTTCTTGATCATGAGAAGGTAAGACGGCCCATCAGGACTTTGCTCTCAGGACGATCGGACATGAGGGAACGAGGCTTTCCTCACTCACATGGAAGGTGGTCGCTCCCTTACTATGAAGAATCGAGGTGCCTGCTCCTGAATGTGTGTGCCCAGGGCAGGCTGCAAATGGAACCACACGCCTGCATCAGATGTTGTGAAGGCATAAATCAAGCTAAGAAACCTTTAAGTGAAATGTGCTCTAGCCCTTACAATACCTGGAGAGCAGTTTTCAACATAGAACTCTTGGCCTCATAGTTCAGCATCTCGACCCCCACCTGCAGCCTCACTGCCCTGAGGGGTACACCCCACGGCTTGAGGGGCCCTGGTGGGTGTGCTTGGATACCCTGACCCACATGTGCAGGCTGTCCCCACAGCCCTCGCCTCTCAGGCCTCGGGGAAGCACACGTTACACCGCCAGTCCTCAGGACGGTGTAGGTCCCTTTAAGCAGGGCCTCGGTGAGAGTTTGCTGGGCTGACCGAGAGTGGCTCTGGCGGGACATCTCTGGGATACTGCCGGCCACACTAGGTATCCCTCAGGGTCCATCCCAGGCCTCTCCATGTCCAGTCCTTTTTCCTTGCTCTTCCCAGGAGAGCTGCTGCAACAGCCCCGCTCTGTGCGCTTCCCAAGGCCTGCCTGCTGGCTCCAGCCCTGACCAGGCTTGGCTGTGCGCAAGGTCTGGTGTCCATGGTCACAGCCAAGAGCTAGTCCCAGCCCCAGTCTGTGTAGCAGGTGGGTGCCCTGGTACTTGCGCTGGTCTCAGAGAGTCTTGTTTTGCTGATTGTCTCACCCACTGACATTGCCCTCAGAGGTCTTGTTGGGAGAGCAAGAGCCCGAAGCCCACAGGTGACCGACTTTCCCAGCTCCTGAGAGGAGGTGACCAACTTTCCCAGCTCCTGAGAGATGACTGACTTTCCCAGCTCCTGAGAGGCAGGGCAGGAGCAGGGAGAGGCCGTTCTCCAGCCTCCTTGTCTTGTACTTAAACTTCAGTCTTCGGTCTCCGTGCTGCACGCAGGGAGCTGTCAGAAGCGGGCTCGCTGTGCTAGCGGGAGCGCCGGGTGCAGGCAGGCGAGCAGAACCAGCAGGGCAGAGAAGGGGCGTCAGGAGCCCTCTAGTTTCCACTTAGCACTGGCGCCCCCGTGCCTGCGGAGGGAAGGGACCAGCTTAGGGTGGGACTCAGAGGAGGGCCAGAGCCTAAGCAGGAGACCGGGCAGCTGCAAGGGCAAGGTGGCCTTTGCCATTGTCTGCACTGCTCTTTTCATGAATTAGTTTCATTCCTGCCATTGGGCTGTGCTTGTTACCTCTGGCTTCCTGGTAAGTTGTGGGAGAGATTGTTTCTTGATTCAGCCTGAATTCCTCCCGAACCAGAGGAACCAAACCACCAGACACATCTGCTCCCCCAAGAAGCAGCTGTGGGGGGAGAGGCCAGGGCCTGGGGGCAGGCTCTCTGGGAACAGGGTGGGCGATGCCATAGGCAGACCACTATACAGACCCCCACCCCACCTGCACCACTTATAGGCCCAGCACTTTGGGGATATCATCCTTGGCCCATATGTTTGTGTCAAAGATCAGAGAGGTGCTGTGTGTTCCTCTGCAGAACTCTGTGCCCGCGTGGGGCAGAGTTCAGTGGCTATGGCCGCTGTTGTCACTGTGGTGGTTGCTCTTCTCTTAATGGTCCCTTAGGACTTGCTCTCCTGCTCCAAGAAGGGAGGAGGGGCAGGGTGTGAACCCGGGTCCCCAGGCCACGGCCCTGAGGAAGTAGGACAATGCCCGTCAGCCAGTGCTCACAGTGAGGGGCCCTCATTCAAACCCGCCCTGGGATGCTGCCGGGAGGTGGGGTTAGGGAGGTGCTGTGGTGCGAGCTTGCGCGGAATGGGAGGCTGGAGGGGCTGCATGGGCCTGTTTCCCTTCTGAGATGGTGATAATGCAACAGTGGGTCAGAGTGGAGCCCATGGGAGACCTGGCCTGCTGGCCTGGGGCCCCTACAAAATGCAACATTTTGTGGAAAAGAGGGAAGTTGCTGGGTGTGGGCCTGGACTGAAGGTGGTGAAACCGAGGCCCCTCCTCTCTCCCTCGTGTGTGTGTGTGTGTGTGTGTGTGTGTGTGTGTGTGTAGGGAGGTGTTTCCTGCATTTCCTGGCTGATACTTTCTCTTGTGTGGAGACATTTTCTAGCAGGTATTGGATGCAAGCTGGGAATTCCCCTAATTCAGATGTTGTCATAAAGCCTGTTGTCATAGGAGAGGGTGTGTGGCAGGTGTGCTGTGCTCAGAAAACCCGGGAGCACCTGCCTTCACATTGCGGGCCGTCACTAAGGTGGGAGGTGGCCCACGGGGAGTTCCTGGCTCCTCCTCTCCAGCCATCTCAGAAACCCTCACTTGCATGGCCTTTGCTGAGAACAGTCTCCTTCCAGGCCTCCGGAGGGCCCCTCCCCAGCACAGGCCTCGGGGAAGCAGCTGGCCGAGGGCTCCAGGGTGACAGCAGCTTAACTCGTTTCTTTGTGTGAACATTGGAGCTCTGGTCGCCTCCAGCGATACCTGGGACAGGAATTATTTTGTGCTACGTTTGAGTCATTGATTAATGATTCCCAGAACACAAACACGTTTCTCTGCAAACAGCTCCATGTGACATGAAGGGTGGTTCCCTCAGTGCATGTCAACTGTGACCCGCCTTGGCCACTGTACTGCGGGGTGGCCCTGTGCCCCATGCAGCTGCTCGTGGCAGTGACCCAGGCTGGCCAGAGTCAGAGCTCAAGTTAGAGTGCTTTTCACTACCGCTGTTCCCTTTAATTACGTTAAAACTAAACATTACTTATTTGTATACAAACTCAGTGTAAAATATTAGTTTGATCTTGGTAGAAAGGTATCGGCTCAAAGGGAGATGTCTGCTCTGGACAGCAGAGATCTCCTCCCAGGCATTTTTCGTGGAGGATGTTTGTGGAAGGTAAAGTGTGTTAGACTTTCCACGTTTAACTTCCCATCTGGGTGAAGTGCCACGGCCGGCCCACTTTCTAGAATGTGGAGTTGCATGTGTTGTCCCGCTTAACACCTCTGAGAAGCTCTTTGGCATGTTTTGTGCACAAGGCCACTCCTGAGCTGGCCCAGCCCCTCCCTGGACCTGCTTCCCGCATCCTTATGTACACATGTGCTCGGGTGTGGGTGTGCCCCCTCCCCGAGTTTGTACTCTAATTATACGAAACTACTTGTAATCTCCAAACACGTTCAGCTGGCTTTAGACTTTATGCCTTAGAATGCTTTCTCCTGTTTTTATCTTCTTAACTCCTTACCCCAGCCTTGGGGTCACCTCTGTGGAAACCACTTCTCTGATGTTACCTCAGCCCCTTCTCTCACCCTATCTGGGCCAAGCACCCTGCTCTGTACCCATGGAGAGCCTGCAGCCTGCCCTGCCATGCTGTGCCAGGACCGTCTGCACTCCTCCCTCTCTCCTCTTGGACCCTGGGCACCACGAAGGCTTCGGCCCCCTGTGCACCTAACAGTGTGTGGGGCACACACTGCACATTCAGCTCAATGAGTTCAGGAGCAGACTGATAAGGTATGAGGGACATGCTTCCTGAGATGAGACCTTGGCTTTCACAGCCTCACTAGTGTTCACGGGTCAGTGTCTCAAAGTGTAGTCCTCACATAACCTACATCTGAACCACCTGGGCTGCTTGTTAAAGTGCAAACTCCAGGCCCACTCTGCACCTGTCCCCAAGAGGACACGAACTTCTGGGGATGTACCTGGGAATCTGAACTTCAACAACAATCAGGTGATTCTTATATACACCAACTTTGACCAGACCCCTGAGACCCACAGGTCCAGGTTTTACAGCATTCAGAGCTGCCCCAGCTGGAAACTTGCTTCATTTCAATCACAAGAACAGATCCTTGTCCAGGCAGCTTATGCTGGACGCTGCGCTTTGAGCAGCCTCCAGAACTTGTAACACGCCCCCTGTGTACCGTGCAGTGCCCATCCTTTCCCACTCGGTCTCCGCGTGGCTGAGGCTGGGCGGGCGCCCGAGTGCAGGCGTGGGAGTGGGAGTGGTGTGTGCCGGCAGGCAGGGCTTCCTGCTCTTTGTCTCTGCCTAAGAGATGAACTGATGCAAAGAGATCCACATGTTATATTTCTCCTCAGATTTGCCAAATTGGTGTATAAAAATAGCACCTCCTTATTGTTTTAATATATTTCCTTTGATTACTAGTGTGACTGAATGCTTCATCTCCACATGATCAGGGTAGGAAGAGTAGATGCCGGACTTCACAGGCGACCAACATAAAAGTAATTTATATCTCTTCTCTCCTTTGGGACCTAACTCTTCCTCAGCAAGCTGTGCTTTTCTGAGAACCAGGCACACTCCTTCCATCTGCCGGGGTAACAGAACCTGCGGATAGCAGGTCCAGACAGGTAGAAGATGCCCAGAAGGCACGTGGGATGCACGTGTGCAGCCTCAGTTGCTCTCTGCAGTAGATTTTGCACATATGTATGAGAATGGACGCCTTAGCTCTGTTCCAGGCCCTCATGGGACAGTGGTGCACTCAGTGTCCAGCTGTGAAATCAGGGTGTTGTGCTGATTGCAGGTGACTAGCTCCAGGAAGAACTGCTGGGCACCTGCCTTGGACCTGCCCTTTGCAGGTGTGCACCCAAGGCAGACGGGCCCCCGAGGCAGATGTGCACCCAAGGCCCGACTCCAAAGACCTGCTGCCAGGGCCTTCCACAGAGCATCCCGCTGCACTCTTGCCCCTGTACCTTCAGCTCTGGCATTTGGGATTTCCAGACAACCTGCTCCTTATATGCAGGGCCAGGTGTGGGCATAGCGCAGTTATTTACCTGGTCAGGACAATGTCTCATCTCGCACATCTCAAAGAAGCTCCACTTATGAAGCTGAAGCTCCACTCTTCCTAAAATGATCGATAGGCCTGCGGCGTGAGAGATTTCTTAATCAGCAGTACACTGGAGGTGGAGCCTCCCAGGGCAGGTTTAAATGGGGGAGCAGGCGATAGTTCACTGGTTCCTTCTCCAGGCTCTAAAATGCCATTCTTTTCCAGCAGGATCAATTTCTAAGCTATTAACCCAGCTCTCACCAGACATTTTTCTTGCGGTTTCATTTATTCTCATCGTCACTTAGTTTCCCCGAAGGAAGGCGCCAGGAGATCTTGGGGACATGCTCCGTCCCTGCTGTGGAACCACAGGGGTTGGGTGAAGGTGGGGCACCCGGCGAGGGAGAGGCTTTGGGGGTACCCAGGCCAAGGCTGGTGCCCGTCCCACATCTCACCACGTGAACTGAGAAAATGCCCTAACAGTGCCGATGGGAGAGCAACCGTGCCACTGCGGGAAGGCAGTCTTGCAACAGCTACCAGAGTTTAAAATGCCGCACCCTGGACCTGAAACTCTGCTTCCTGGAATTTAACCTACAGATCCACTTGTGTTCAAAGTGACACTGCACAGGAAGGTCACTGCGGCATCATTTGCAATGTCAGCACATTGGAGAACAGCCCCGACTAAGAGGGGTTGCTCCAGTAACTCATAGGACACTGCGTGAGGGGTGGTCTGCACCTATTACTGAGGTGGGACAACTTCCCAAGAAGTGACCTGGAAGGGGCTCCAGGACAGCTGTTGAAGGAGAACGCCAGGTGCCGACAGTCAGTGTGGGGGTGTCGTTTGTGTGGAAGAGACGCTGGGTAAACATGCTGGGCAGAGGCCACGCGTCCCCTCCACCGCTTAGCGGAGCGTCCGCTGGCCCGGACGGAGCCAGGGAACACAGAGCGGCGGGGGACAGGACGCACACTTTATTTTTACATGCACGTGGGCGCCCGCAGAGTAAAGAAGCCCTCAAATGCGGTCAGGCGTCAGTGCTGCTCTGCTGTGAACACCGAGCGGCCGTCGGGAAGGAACTGCCGTCTGCAGGAGGCTGGAGGGAGGACAGGCCGCCAGGGAGGCTGCACAGCCGTCACCCCGGCTGTCTCTGGTGATCGGCACGTCCTTCCTCCGGACTAGGGAGGGCGTCTCTCACACGGGAGGCTCGCGGCCTGCTTTCAGGAAGAAAGGGGGCCAGGGGGCCCTACTTGTACCTGCTGTTTTTCAAGTATCTTTAACTGAAAATAACCCCTATGCCAGGGTAGCATGTTAGGGGTGGCACATCTGGTCCCCTTCAGCACAGTAGCATGGTAATGGTGGCGCCGCTGGCAGGGCTTCCAGGGGAGCTGGGGACTCCCGGCCACAGGAGACATCCTCAGCGCTTCACCCCGCCCCAGCTTGTCTACAGCAGTTCCTGTCGATTCTGCCTCCTCTTGTTTGGAGTCAACCACATCTCCCCTTCCTCCCACTTCCCTCTGCCACGCCATCCAAAGCCATCATCCCTCCGCAGGACCACGGCGTGGCCCCATGACTGACCGCCCTCCTTCCACTCTTGGCTCTTCCCAATCTCTTCTCCACCCAGTAGCCAATGTCGTCTTTCAGAAGTGACCCTTCCTTGGCTTTCTGTTGTAACCAGAATAAAACCCAATGGCCCTACCAAGGACCTAGGCCCCCCCGATCTGAGCATGCCCCCTTTCCAACTCTGTCAGCCACGCTGACCTGTTTTCTGCTCTCCCCGCGCCTAGGCTCCGAATGGGATCCCCTTGCCCTGAAACGTTTTCTCCCAGCTTGTCCGTGCTGCCCCATTTCTGTCCTTCCATTCTCAGGACTTTTCTAAAATAGTGCCCATGTTTCTCCCTGCCTGTCACCACCCTATTTTCTTTCCTCTCAGCATGTATCACAGTTGTCATCGTTTACTGCTTGTCATGTCTGTCTAGCAGCCGTCTTCCCCTACTGGACTTGAAGTCCCAGAGAGTGGGGTTTTGCTTGTCTTGTCCCCCTGTAACTGAGAGCAGCCTGTACCTCAAAAGTGTTCCTCACTGTTGACTACAGAACGTTGACCGCGGTTGTGGATGGGCTTCCAGGGAGAGAGGCTGTCAGCGTGCTCAGTACAGCACTGAGCACTCATTCATCTGCACACCACGGTTTGGGTGAGGGGCCTCGGGAGATGAACTAAACCGGTGCTGGGTGCAGAAGTGCCACTTAACCTGTGATGAGCATGCAGCTTGGGGGCAGTGGCTTTATTCTTACAAGTGCTACTCTCCCTGTAAGTGCCCAGCGGGTGACCCCCTAATGCCCTCAGGCCCTTCATAAAAATGGTAGACATGCTTCACTTGTCCATGGCCTGACTCAGGTGCTCTCTCCCTCAGGTGACACAGAAGTACTCCCTGGTGATTGTGAAGGGCCACCTGGTCTCCGAAGGGCTCCTGCTCTTCGGCCGCCAGCACTTCTACATCTGCGAGAACTTTACACTCTCTCCCGTGGGTGATGTCTACTGCACCCGGCACTGCTTATCCAAGTGAGTTCCCACCTCCCCGTGGATCCTGCCTGAGCCCTACTCTTCCTTCTCAGTACCCCCACACCTGCCCCTCCCACCTTGCTCTTACTGTGGGCTTGGGTTTGGGCCTGAAACTGAACCAAGAGATAAAACAGAAGAACCTAAGGCTTAGGCGTCCTGGACCATGGTTCCCCAAAGCTATACTCTGGGATGGATAACAGTGTGGTGGCTGCTCATGCCTCTCCTGGTGCAGAGAACACCCCAGGACAGTGGGGTGTCTCCTGAGATCATTTGGGTGATAGACTGCAGCCCCATCAGCTTACTCACTCGACACTCGCTAGGTGCTCATTCTGATGTAGGACACCAGGCACTGCCCCTTCCTGCCCAGCAAGTGCAACCAGAGCATAACAGGCCCCTTTGACAGAGTTGGGAGCACACTGGCATCACAGGACAAATGTGTGCTGTGGGGAGACTGCAGGGCCCACACCTGAGAGACGTGGTGAAGAAGGGCTACCTGAGGAAGTGGGTGAAGACCTGGGCCCTGAAGGATGGGTAAGATTTGGGTAGAAAGTTGAAGAGTCATTTTGTACCAACTATCACCAGAGGTCTCTCACAGGAAATTCTGAGGTTCTTTTTTAGGATCAAGTGTATTTGGTCTATTTTGGTTCAATCAGGCTGTTATTGATTAATTCTCTTGTGTTTATAGAGCACAGCCATTCAAAATCAAACTGACCGTGTTTGGACTTTTGCTAGGAGTTCATTCTAGTTGTGTTTTCAGTTGAACATCACTTTTGAAAAAATTTGGTTGAGGATTTCTTTATTCAGAGACCAGCCTGGACGTTTCTGATTAGCCAAGGCTCAAATGACGACAAAACTCTCTGAGACAGCCCAGGGACTCTCAAATCAACTTACTTCGAGCCACCCGGAGGGCTTGTCAGAACAGGCTTCCTAGACCCACATTTCCCCCAGCGTCTCGCTTGGCAGATCTGGGGTAGGGACTGAGATTTTAACAAGCTCTCTGCTGATGCTGAAGCCTCTGGTTCAGGGCCACACTTTGAGAACCACCATTGTAGACTATTGCCGAGGAGTCAGGGTCGTGCCTGCCAATACCTAAGAATTTCATTCCCAGTTGTCATATCATTTCCAGCCTATGTCAGGAGGCAGGAGTCTAAGGAGTGTGGAAAAACAGATGTCAGCCCACCCTCCTTTGATTTAGATTTGCTTTAGAATGCTTGGCATTTTCTCTCTGCTAATTTTCATCTTTTATTCATTCCAAACATTTACCGGTTGCTGGGAGTCCTCTGCGCTTTTCCAAGGCAGGAGAGGCGTAATTAATACTTGGCACACATCCCATCTTCAGGCTCGTGTTTTATTGATACTGATCAATATGGACAATGGGCCTGCAGACTGGCCTTCCTGGGAGCTGATGAAAGCTTCCTATGGAGCCTGTCTTGGTGGCCCGTGTGATGACCTGCACAGTCCATTGCTTCGCCACTCACCTCTGGTTTAAATCCAGTTAGCGTTAGATGAGATTTTATTGATTAGGAAAACTGTGTTTATGAGGTGCATCTCATAATGATCGGATCGACTATATCTGCACTTTTAACTGAAGCCCATTGTCAGATTGCATGTACTGTCTTTATTTGGAAGGAGGGAGACTCCCCCATCTGGAAGTGTGCTTTTCTAGAACACATGTAGGAGTAGAGTGAGAACAGATTATGACCCTGGACTATCATTTGGGGATTGCACAGGTAATTTTAGTCACCATACCTCAAAAAAGTGTTTGCTAACCAGACAGGGCTTTCTCTCGAGGTCTGGTCTGCTGCCCCAAGAAGCTGCTGGCACCCTGCACACGCAGCTCTCCGAGACGGCTGTTCGATCTTGTCAGATCAATGGGGATTAAGTCTTCTTTTGACCACAGAGACCAAGGGAGATACATAAATAAGCCAGTTAAAAATAAAGCTAAGTCGACCCTGAAGTGCTTCTCTAAAGGCTGCCGTCAAATTGAGTACAGCTGAGCACTAGACCTTGAAAGGGGCTCTCGGATGTGCCTTAAAGTACTCAAAATAAAACTCAAGAACACTGCACACTCTCCAGCAGGGAGTGCATTTCTACTTTGGAACTTTCCTCGGAAACCAAGAACCTTCCAAGAAGGCTTGATTTTGCTTTCATGGAATCCCTTTTAGGCTGGATAGGTTGACTGCATTAGGTTGCTAGGGCTGCTCTAACAAAGTACCAAAAATGGTGTGGCTTTGAAACACAGATATTTGCCTCGAAGTCCTGGAGGTGAGGAGTTGGATAGCAAGGTCTGAGGGCACTCGCCCTCTGCAGCTCTAGGGGCCAGTCCTTCCTGTCCTCTTCCAGCCTCTGGTGTTTCTGCCCATCCTTGGTGTCCATTTGCTTGTAGATACATCACTCCAGTCACATGGCCATCTTCTCTCTGTGTGTCTTCTCATGATCTCCCCTCTGCGCGTGTCTAGCTCTGTGACCGAGTTTCCCCTTTATAGAAGGAGACTGACTAGTCATAGTGGATTAGGGCCTATCTTAATGACTTCATTTTAATTTTATTACCTCCAGTCTTCGCCTGTTTTTAAATAAAGTCTCATTCTGAGGTTTTGGGGGTTAGGACTTAAACACATCTCTGTGGGGGGAAACAACTCAACCCATAACAGTGGCAGTCAAGGTCAGAAGGTGTAGCATTTGACTCATTTGGTGGCAATCCAAACCATCCAACCAGCCCTTTGCAACAGGGTGCTTTTCATCAGATGTTCCCTCTGCTTCAGTCAGCATTTTAAGGCATTTCTCTGCTTAGTTCAGTTCGACAAATACTGAAAAGCTGCCTCATACCAGGCACTGTGGTCGACTCCATAGGTGCAAAGAGGCGAGTCAGACGTGGGCTGAGTCTGCTAGGGAGCTTGTGATCTAGGGAGTGATTCTGGGTAGACATTTTAGGTATAAATTCTGACAATCCTTGAATCTTAGGCGACAATAATAGTTGGATAACGGAGTACTGTCATTCTCATCAACCATTGGCCAGTGATGCTGCCTGGCGTAAGCCAAGGGTGGGAACTAGAATCACCTGCATGGCCGATTGGGAGTCAGAGGAGCTTAGGGGAAGCTGATCTTGCCCCAAGGGAGGTGTAAAATAACAAACAGGGGCCTCAGCCAGAAGTAGGCTTGAATTAAAGCCTCCAGACAGAAGCATCCAGAACCAAAGCCACATTTGTATTTGATCAGTCCTAAAGCAACATGGCTCTGAGCAGGACGCCTGGGAGGACCGTCCTAAGAAGGGGCAGGACTGCAAAGGACTGGAATCCACCTCCTTGGGGTCTGGCTGCACAGGAGACTAAACAGTGGGCTCAGGCTGTGTTCCTGGGTAACTCTCCCTTCTACCCAGCAGTCACCACTCAGCGTAGCGGCAAGTCCAAGCTCTTAGCACTGCAGACGCTGGACACCACCCTGACCATGACCAGGGACTGAAGTCCCACTGGCCCAAGTGAGGGCCTGACTGCTTTCTCAGTTTTTCCCTGGAGGCGTGACCGAGAGGCCCAGTGCATGGTTGTCCCGCAGGCTGGCCTCAGGCTGCAGCTGGAGCTGGGGTGGCAGGAGGTGGAGCACAGTCTTCTCCCCTCCTGCCACCTCGCCCTGGGCGGGGCTCCTTCGGCTCCTGGCTCATTGGGTCTGCAACAGGCACACGTGCTTCTTGAAGCTGAGGTGCTTGGGAGGCCCTCCATTTCTCAGGTTCTCAAGGGCATTTTATCAGAGCTCTGTGGTCATGTACACAATCTGAAGTTACCACATTGAGAGGTTCAGAATGTAAGTGTCTGTAACTGGAATCACAGTTATTTCTCAAGTGCCCTTTGTGTTGCTGGCAAGAGCTTCGTGTGGCTGCCTACGGACATTTCAGCTACTTCGGGTGCCGACATCACCCTTGGGGGACAAATACTCACCCAGTTCAGACCCTCCCTCCCCCTCCTCTTCCTGTCTCCCACGGGAGTCGTTCTGACGTCTGAGAGGGGCTCGGCCTGGCCTCTGCTGCCACGTGGCTGGTCCCCGGCTCTGGGCACCTGCTCTAGAGCCACTGCTGAGGCCGTGGTCATCGTTCCCAGCCCACTGGCATCCCAGGCCTGTGCATACCCCTTTGTGGGCTCGGGTGTTCTCTGTCACTTTCTCCCATGTGGTGCGCCCCCAGCGCCACGCTGCCTGAGGCCATGCTGATCACAGCTTTCTCATAGTCTCCTCATCTTCTTGCCTTATTTCCAGAGCCTGAAATTTCTCCAGATGGGACTAGAGTGTGTCCTCCACTCTTCCCCACCCCCTCAGTCCACTTTGGCCACTGTACCCAGAGGGACTCTTACACACACTCCTCAGCAAGGGCTGCTGTCTGTCTTGGAGGCTGTCCCCTTGCCCTTCTGTCTTCTCACCTGGTGTGGCTGGTGCCTCATCCTGCTGCTCAGGGCAGGGCTAACGAGGACAGGCACTCAGGGTTTATTAGGTCAGCGGCACCCTGCTCCCGGTGACCCCCAATGTGTCTCAGAAACTCAGGCAGGGCTGAAGGACAGGAAGAGGGACAAGCCCACCAGATACCCTCTCACTAACACATCTTATTTCTTTTCAGCATCAGTGATCCATTCATTTTCAACCTGTGCAGCAAAGACAGGTCCTCCGACCATTACTCGTGCCAACGTCACAGCTACAGTGACCTCAGGGAGCTCCGGCAGGCACGCTTCCTCCTGCAGGTATGACCCAGGAGGGGGCAAGGGAGAACCACCTCTTCAGAGGCAGGTGGTCCGGGTGCCATCAATGCCCTGTACGAATGTGAGGGACACACCTCATAACCCCCTTCTTGCCTGTGCATAGCCCAGTGACCTTGGGGACACGCCTACGAATTCCCCTGGCTTGTGTTGTGTCTGGTCGCCTGTCTCAGAGTTCCCACTTCTTCCCTCTCTCCCCAGCCCTTGCCATTTGGCTGTTGGGAGCTTCCCTCAGTGCATCATTGAAGATCCAGCCTCTGCTTTCTTTTCCCCTTGACATGAGGATTCAGGAGTACAGGACCGGGCAGCTCCACCGCCCCCGGGTCGAGCTGATGCCTGGGAGTTGAGTGCCGGTCTGCCCTTTTCTGATCCTGATCGCATGGACCCCCTCAGCTGGCTGCCACCCCTCCCTCCCAC